ATTCAACTAAAGTAATTTTTTATTTTTTTTTAATAAGTTTTGAAAAGGTGTTCATTAGGGTGAATTTTTAGAATGATATTTTTAATTAATGTCAATTTTGTTAGGTAATGGATCATTAATAACTAAAAAAATGGTTAGGTGGTGAATAACATCAATTTTGTTTTTAATTTCGTATTAACGTATTTAATATGGATATTTATTTAGAAATCATGTAAAAAAAAGATTAAATAGTAATATAAGTAAAAGTTGATTTGTCCTTACACCAACCCGCCTAATCAAACATTCAATTCTATTGATATTTTTTTTATTGAGCCATTTACCACTTAATATATTGACATCTGTCCATATTTATTGAAGGACACTTGTTAGACACTATTGGTGAATAAGTTTGGACGACTCCTGATGGCTCCATAGCAAAACTGCCCGACTAATAGCCAAAATAACTCATAATATGAATCTCTCATAAAAAAAACTCCATCTTTATACATATCATATGCAAAATTGTTGTCAGTTTGAGTAACAAAAATAGTCGTATTTGATTTGAATTAAAAATATGTATTTTTTACAAAATTAAACAAAAATATATAGTTTATAATGCAAATATAAAAGTAACAGTTCAAAATTAGGGAAATGCTACGGTCGCGTTACGGTACATTCACGTCGGGTGTTTTACGTTAGATCATCTACCTTATCTAATTATATGTAGATCCAACGGTTAAAACACCCGACATGATGGTACTGTACCGGACATTTCCCTCAAAATTATCTTAGCATCACTATAATAAATGTTAACCAAAAAAGGGAGAGCTCGCTGGTCACATTTTTATACTTTCAGGTGTTGTTAAAATGTCATATTAAATTACCAACACAACATGAATAGATTTTAATGACTAAAGAGTGCACCATTAATCCAACTACCCCATCACCGTCAACATATTCAGTATATTCCCAACGGTTGGAGTCTAGGGGGTCAGTTGTACGCAGATTTTACTGTTGTAATTATACAAGGAGATTGTTTTCATAGCGACCCACGGTGCATTGCGTCGTTTGATATATTTTTTTAGAAACTTCACTAACAGAAGAAGCACTAGAATTTAATTGAGTCGTTTTGATCTAGACCATTATTAGCACTATACTAGGAAAATTGTCAGTAATAACTCTTCCAGCTTCATTTGCAATAGATATAATTAATCCAACCACCCCAAAAGAGAAAAAAAAAAAAATAGTGAATTAATATAATAATGTTGGCTTTGGCACCTAAAATTCCACTTTCTCATGATGATAATCTCTTTCCATTTATTTATTTCAATCAATAAGACCATTTATTTATTTATTTAGGACGTAATGTTTGGTGGCACCGAAACGGTAGCATCAGCCATCGAGTGGGCCATGGCGGAGCTAATGAGAAGCCCAACGGACCTTAGGAGGGTCCAGCAAGAGCTGGCTGACGTAGTGGGCCTGGCCCGCAAAGTCGAGGAGCCCGACTTCGAGAAGCTGACCTATCTCCGCTGCTGCCTGAAGGAGGTCCTCCGCCTCCACCCGCCGATCCCCATCCTCCTCCACGAGACGGCGGAGGATGCCACCGTCTCCGGCTACCACGTCCCGGCGAGATCCAGGGTCATGATCAACGCGTGGGCCATCGGCCGCGACGCCGGCGCGTGGGAGGACCCGGACGAGTTCCGGCCGTCGCGGTTCCTGGCGGAGGGCGTGGCGGACTTCAAGGGCGGGAACTTCGAGTTCATACCTTTCGGGTCGGGTCGGAGGTCGTGCCCCGGTATGCAGCTTGGGTTGTACGCGCTGGAGATGGCGGTGGCCCACCTGCTCCACTGCTTCACGTGGGAGCTGCCCGACGGGATGAAGCCCGCCGATCTCGACATGAGCGACGTATTCGGCCTAACGGCGCCGAGAGCCGAGCGCTTGGTGGCGGTGCCCACCACGCGCCTTCTCTGCACGCTGTAAGGGATGGACACGCGTCGTGGATATATATGTGGTGGAGATTATTCAAATATTAATTATTATAATTCAAGGGGGTTTTTTTTTTCTTTTTTTTTGGCAATTACATGTTTGTTTGGGAAATGAGTTGGCATAAAATTGTAAGGCAATTTACTTGAAATAAATTGAACT